CACTTTAAGTAGTTAAGATACATTTATGATCTGGCACCCTACTTTCTGCTTCCCCAAATCTGATTAGACAAAACTTGGTTGTGTTGGCCTTTGTAACAAAACTTCATAATAAAATATACCTGTTTTCATTGTGTTTCCATCAAGGGCTGTGCTAGAATCATGGAGTTCAAGATGAGGAAAACAGCTGAAGTTGGAGTTCATGTCATTTTACATTGTTCTGGGATTTTTGTACTTATTCATATAGCTAGTAAATGGTGGATTTTTCCAGAACCTTTTAAAATATTGATGTAGAAGATTACTTTTAAAGTAAAATGCCATGGGAGCTGGCAGATTAAAAAACAACATGAGGAGACATGAGGAAAAGTGGAATGAATATGTCATAGTTAATTGTCGCAAATGTTGTAAGATTTATGTAAATAGCTGGCTGCTTTTTTCCCCCCAAAGTAGCAGGAAACTTCTCTTTTGTTCAGTTAAAATGAATGTCTCCAATTAAGCTGACATTTCTTTCTGAGTTACTAGTCTACATCCAGCAACCAATGTATTTTGCAATAGTGGTAATCCTCTTCATTTGTAGGCCTCCTTAATAGAACATATTTAAGACTTTATCACTGAAATGCAGACATTGCATGTGTAGAACATAACAGCTGTTAACGGCACACAACTCAATGCCTATTTTTGCTGCAAACAAAAAATCTGAAGCTGATTTAAACTACAAGATTATGTATAGCAAGGCAGAATATAATTATCCTACTGGAGTTTGGCCGAGGTTCAAAAACTAAATATCTAAATAGTACCATAACATTTTAAATCTACACCTGATGAGATACTCACATCCCACAGAGTAAAGCTCTCTATCACTATGCTAGGACCCTTGTCTCAAAAGAAACTCAAAAGGCTAACTACAGAAACTGACAATATTACATAGATTTTTCTGTGGAGGTCTCTCAGCTAAGCACTTGTATGATGCTTCTTAGCTTTTACTATTTTTTTTAGCAGGCAAGATCACAGCTGAGATAGCATTATTGTACACCATCCGAACTAATTATAAACTTGCGCATATTCTTTTTAAAATTACAACCAGCATTAAACATTTTTGAAGGGATGTATAACTGTTTGTAAATGACAAATGACTTGTATTTTCTGTAGGAAGGAACATTTACCAGACATTTGTAAAGGTGGGTTTTTTTTGGACTCATGAACTCTCTTGTACCATATGTCCACATTTTAAAAATAATTTGTTTGCAGCAGATATAATTAGCGGCATTAAAGTACATTTTTCTGAGCTGAATTTACCTATTTAAGTGGGAGGCTTAATTGGTGATCACGTGTAAATTGACACTTATATGAAACTGAGAAGCCTGTTGAAAAAATATACCCAAAGGCAGATGGTGGCACTCTGGACAATATGCAAGTGTTAGAAGGTACAAGCATCAGATTTCTGAGTAGTATCTCTACTTTTTGTAAAAGAAAAGCTTAAAAACGCTTTCACATTTTACTTATGATTTAGGTACTCAATATTTGATGTGTATATAATATTTCAACTGTTTACAGTGAAACCTAGATTCTTTGCAGGGTTAAACTTCCTTACTCTCCAAGAAGAAAAGGGTTTTCAAACTACTCGGTGTTTTATACAGCTGCACCAAACAGCTGTGAAGGACCAAGGCATTGACAGCTGTTTATCATGTCTCTTATTTCAGTGCAGTGGGTGCTGCTTCTCCACCAGCTGTGCAGAACTGCGGCTCTGCTTCAGGTCATCAAAGCAGCAGCACCCTTTGAAGAAAAAGGGTCAATAAGCTTCAGAGCAGTTCTTTACTTTGTAAATATTGTAAGCAGGTTGAGCATCACTTCTGTACGCAAAAGTCTGGTTTCTACTGTATCTAGATAAAATAAATTGTCAGAAAGGCAGCCCTGGGCCTTGTAAAAGGGAGGAGGAACACTTACAAGAAAGTTAATACCATTTCTTGCTTTTGACAGAGTTCTTTTACTTCTCTGATACTGCTAAGTTAACCCTGCCTCAGCCATGTCTCTGGAAACATATAAATAGAGTATTTTTTTTCAATAGTTCAGGTGCTACAAATAGCAAGAGAAGCATTTTGAAAGCAATTTTCAGGAAGGAGGATTCCATCTTGCCTCCACATCTTTCAAATTAGATCATTTGGATGCATTTTTTTTTCCTTTCAGTAGACTAGCAGAGCTTTCAAGGGCTTTATATAAACTTTTTCAGCAAAATATATATCATCATTTGTTTTCCAGGTAGCTTTTCATTACTTTCTCAATTAAGATTATGTGAAAAGAAACTATACATTTTCTCCAATCTATAGCCAGGAGCAGCCTAAAGGTTTAGCTGTGGAAGAAAATAAAAAGAGTTTTACTGGGGGCTAAGTTCGACCTATTTTGCAGAAGGCTCTTGCTAAAGTAACTTAGCACATTATAAGGTGTAGCTAAGTTTTAAAAGAGAGCATGGTTTGAGGCGTGGATCAACACTGATGACTATCTTGGATATCCACAAGGTGACATATTGGGCTCAATGAAGTTAATGAGAGTTTGATCATTAACGTCAGTGGAGTTAGAACTCCATCCCAAATGAAAGAAAGCTGGAAACACTTTAAAATCAACAACGACTGGAAAGAAACAAAATTGTGGGCCTTACAGCATCAGTTTAGAGAACTGTTAGAAATAAACAGCTTCCCCTCCATTTACTTTAACTTGCCAGTTGAAGGTATTCAGACTGTGGTTTGAAGTGATAAGTTACAGATGTAAATGATTATGATTCCATTACAGTTAATCAAGCTGTGTAAGGGAGAATTTGGCCTAGTATATCATATGAAATGTAAAGCCTTTAATTGAAAGCTTAAGGGTCTATCAGCTATCAATTTTTTAATACTTAAACAGGCACTGTTATAAAGCTGCCAACTGTGGTATTTATACTCACAAAAGGCAGCAGTGTGTATGTACACACCTATGTACAATGCTCACAGTTTCTTACATGCACCCTTTTCTGTTGGTGACAATAACTCAACATCTTAGAGATGAAAAGAATAATAGAAAACAGGGGTGGAAGGAATCCCAGGGTCATCCAAGTGCCAAGGCAGGATGACATAAGATTTTCTATGAAGTAGCAGAAGTGGAGCATCCTAGATTTGCACACCTTATCATTCACTATCTGCAGTACAAGACAGATAAGCCTCCTCTCCCCTGCCTTCAGATAAAACAACATTACATTATCCTTGGGTTATTAAAAGAAGATGAAGTTTTGGCTGTATTGTAACATTCACTGAACTCCAGAGTTTTTAAAATGTACGGGGTTTATTCTCCTTTTGTCAAGCATTATCTACATACAGAACATCCACATGGTGTTGGTTACAGAAGGAAAAAAAAGCGTAAGAGACAAACTACTGTAAAAACTGAGTAACAGACAACTTACATGGTTCTTGTTTACAATGAGAAAACTTGTTAGAAGGGAAAACAGATCCAGTAACTAGAAATGTATGCAGATTTTAATTTTAATTAAATCTACCTGCCAGGAAGTTTTTTATTTTCAAGATAAAGAGAGATCTACTGTATCACACAGCGCAGGATGCTAAATACACACAAGATTACAATGCTAGAAAATGTCAGGTTTCTAAGCAATTTTACACAATCTAAACTGAAGTAAAATTGTATTTAAAAAAGACTCTTTTTTTCTGATTGCCTTAGTAAATGGAGGTCAGTTTGAGAGCCCATAGCATTGTTTAGCAAAATAAAATTATCTCCAAATATTTCTGACATTACCACAAGTCTGGATAGTTTTTTTTCCTGCTGGCTTCAATTAGTCACATCCCTGTATTTTTTTTCCCCGATTTTACTATCTGTTATTGTTCTAAATTCTTATTCCCATTTAGATGTGTAAGCAATGTCCACAATTAGAGAAAGAGGTTTTTAAAAAAGTAAAAAATAATACAGAAGGAGAGTTTGTTTTACAAGTATAGTCCAATTGGGCGAGTAGAATGAACAACTTATTGAGCTACTCAAAAAGATTCAGGAAGTATAGGTAAACGCCATAACTCATAAGCAAAAATTCTATCCCCAGGTTGTAATCTTAAATCCAGTTATCTGCGTTCTATAGCTAGTTCTTTAAAACGAATACCTGTTCATTTTTTTTTCCAATAACAGTTTTCTTGCCAGTGAAGCTTCATGTTTGACAAAAATGTATTTTATTTTAAGCAGATCACATGATGTTTCTCTTTAGTAGAACTGAAACTCCCTCTTGATGCAACCCTATTAAATCTGAAAAAGCCTAACACCTATTGCTGCAAAGAAGAAAATAAAAAAAGATAAAACTTCTGCAAGCAAGTGACAGCATCTGAACTAAAACTCACAATAAAAATAAACTTCTCAAACTGTAGTGATCAAAAAGCAATACAGAAGACATTGCAAATATAATTTTCCCTTTTTTCCTTAATATGTTCCACAACCTGATTGAGACTAAAACGTGAGATACTAAATGCTTCTTTTCTGTGACAAGCAATCCTGTAGCCACAATGGGAATAAAGTATACAATTTTTACTCTTCCACTTCCTTGTGAGACATTCCCTTCAAGGCACAAAAAGATTAAACAGTGGACAGGACAGGACAGAACATTTCAGTTTAAGTCTAAAGTTGCACAACACCTCTTATTTCATATTCAAAGCAAACCAAATCAAAATTAGAGTGATTTTTTTTTAATATGCAATGGATCATACCGAGACATTTGATATTCCCTGAAGATTTGATTTTTTTTTTTTTTACTTCTTTAAACTATTCTATTTTTATTTATTTATTTATTTATTTTTATAATGAGACTTTAAGAATTGGCCTATTAAGATATTAAGCATAATTTTCTATACTGAATCCAATCAATTAATGCAATCTTAGCTGGTCATTAGTAGTAGATATTTTTGCTGAGAAATTCCACTTTTAGTATCTTTAGTATCTTTTATGTTAAAGTGTATACCAACTTGTATCTTAGCCAAAACAATGACAAATATAGAAGGGTCTAATCATTTCAAAGGAAAACTGGAAATTTAAAGAATGGTGTTAAGTGCAATGTACTGTAAAACTATTTTGTTCCATTATTATCTAGCATGGTTCCTTATGCTTCTCCAACCCAAATTACTGTGTTGCCTCTCTCAACTTCAGTGATTTCACAATTTAACTTGTTGAGCCGTCCATCCAGGATAAAGAGGGATTCCTTGGAAGGTGTCATAAGGTATTGGCCAAAGAGACCGCTGTCCTTGATAAGCCGGTTCTTACTGTTCCAAGGCCATTCTTCTGCCCCAGTAGGCTCCTTAAGGCTCTTCACCATCTTAACTTTGCCAGAGGACAGCTCTACAAACAACACATCCGTTTGCAAGCTGGAGCTACAATAGACATTGTACTGATGGGCTTCAGTAAACGATGGCTGAAAAGCCACATCAGATATGTGCAAGTTAGTGTGAATGTCAAAGGCATCCTGGATTTCTCCTCTAATTGTAATGGACTGGACCTTCATGAGACCTTTTACATCATCAATGCTGACAAGGTAGTGCCCATCTGGAGAGATATATGGGGTGCCTGTCACATCACCATTATATCCAATCACACTGTCAGTAACACTATCCACTATAAGCTGTGGTAGAATAGCCCCAGTGGTATCAGGCTTGCAGCAGATAAAATAATATCCTCCAAGATGTGTATAAGCCAGAGACTGAGGAATGCAATTATAATCCTTTAAACTAATTGTCTTGATATATGACATAGTTTCAAGATCAATTTTCTGGAGTACAGTCTCATCTTTATGAAGAATACATCCGAACCTAAAAGGAAAAAGTACAAATATCAAAGAAAGTTCATAGCTTAATTGTATGCATTACATACAAATATACAAAATCTATACAGACAAAGTGGATGAGTTAAAATATATAGCAACATGTTCCTGAATATCTGGGCTTCAGATGTTTCCAAAACTGCTCATATGTTTTATTGACCTTCTGGCAATTATAAATCAGAATGTGTTTTAAAAAAAAAGTAAAACCATGTACTGTATCTAGTAAATTGGAGAATATATTTTATTTTTCACTTAGGGAAAAAGATAAACATTAATCTGGCTGTCTCAAAATATACTGAGATTGTGTATATTCAATTACAAAATCAGATAACTTTTACTAAACCCAGAATAGATAAAAGATTTGAATATCAATATGTAGAACATCCCACATATTCACTTCATTTAGTTTGCATATTTTTTTAAGAACATCCAAATTAATCCAGTGCTCACTGCTATTCAGATAATCACAAATTCTTCCCATTTTAATTCAGCTGAAGTGAGTATCATAAAAGGGTTGAGTTTTTTGCTTTCCAACTACAAAGACCTCATTTGTTAAAAAATTAAATAACCTTTTTATGCACTTCCATAAATCAAGTGTCCCAGATTTCCCATTATCCCATATCATCCCCCTATCTAATCACCAGGCTACAAGTTAGGTATTATACCAGTGCCTCTCCAGCCCTCCTCTTGAAACTGCCTCACTATCTTACCTTCAATATCCTACATGAACAAACCTTCAAATATATAATTTTTTTTTAATAAAGGAATGAATGCTGATTTTTTTCCAAATGTAAGTTTTCTCTGTTGGAATGGAAAGTTTTAACTTTAGTTTAGATAGCAGGTGCAAAAAGCATATATACATAATCTTTTTTCATTTGGACCACTTGACTCAAAGCCAAAAATCTTATTGGGAACTAAAAAAATCTTCTTTTTCTCTTCTGTAGTATCAATAAGGATATAGGTTGAAAAAATCTGGTCTGCTCCTCCAAAACACTTGAAGACAGGGAGTCAGATTGTCTAGGTACCTGAAAATATAAATAGCTGCCTCATAGGATTTTCAAAAACATCTCAACAAGTTAGATACATTGGAAAATTCTACCTGTATATTTAGGAGCCTAAATGCCTTTGACTATCTGGGTCCCCATGACCAGAAATAATCCATCAATTTAAAAAGTACATTTTATATTTTCCTTGCTTTCTAAATCAATTAGTTTTACAAGCAAAACATGTTTTGATGAGCATTTTAAATGCATCTAGCACATTAATAGTACCTTTATTGAACCAATAAAAAAATATTTTAAAATGTTGCTGTTGTACATTTTAATTGAATTATAATTTCCATCCAAACACAGCTTGACACAACTCACAAGGAAAACGATCATCTAGTAAATAAGAAATGCATCATCCATCTTTTTTCTAACATAATAAAAATTAAGAACCTGAATAAATATATGATAAGTTGTGTAATTGCTTAAATAGATCTGCATACATATAATGTACTATCCTGATTAGCAAAACAAAGTTGCAAATTTAGTACAAAGGCCATAATTGGTTGCAAAGCAACATGTTTTAATGTTTATACCAACCAATTTGAATGAACTTCCCTCTAAGAGAATATAACGTACAAATGCAAAACAAGATTAATATCAATTACTTAAATAAAGATTTCTTGCTAGCTGATTAAAATTGGTGATTTAAATCAATCCACCCAGCTTCTGAGTGCTTGACTGAGCAAATTTAATGGTCAATTAATGCAAGGTTTTTGCATTTAATTGCCATTGATTTTAAAAGAGAAAAATATAAGTTGTTAATCTTAGCTCCTGAGGTCCTCAGTGAGAGCTGTATGTTTCTTGAATCACACAATCAAATTTTGATTATCTTATCTTTGGTTAACCAGAACCTTTGATTATAAAAAGGATGCATTTATTTCCTGAGATTTGCCTACAGATCAGTAACTCCAAAGTATGTCCTGAACTGTAGGGAACTCTAGCCCTTAAATGCTATTCATATCCTCAGTACAAGAGTAATCAGTAGGAACTGTTTACAGGGTCAACGGACTCTTAACAAAGCAACCATCTGCTTTGGCTTCTACCATTTCCTCTAGCAGGCCAGTCAGCTAGTCAGTCTGAGCTTGCAAAAAAAGTCAGTTTAATGGGCATTCAAAACCAGCTCCTTGCACCAGAGTTCTAGTTTTGAACCCTAACCATCTCCATTCCACATCATGCTATAGTGCAGGAGATGGCAAACTATGACCTGCAGGTTGCATCTGACCCATGGAGCGAGCCTTGGTTGAGGAAACATCTGGCAGCGGGTGGCTCTCCCTGTGTTGTGCTGAACTCAGAAGCAGCAACAATGGGTCATAAATCCTTGCTCATCTGACCCAAGCTGGGTCTTTCCAGCTCCCCTCCCTTGCTGTAACATTTTGATTGTTCCTGCTGTAGCCCATGAGGAAGATGGTCTACTGCTTCTCCCCCCTAAAAGAGGGAAAGGAAAAGGATGCTATACCTGGCATGGTTCTGTTCTCAGGGATTGGACAAGATTTCTAAATTTTGTTTACATCTTCTTGGTTGGAAACTAATAGGGTTGGGAACTTCCAAGTTGCAGGACCCTCATATTCTGGTGCTAAGTTTGTTGTTCTTATAAAATTCAACTCTAAAGAGATACTTAATTTATTATTTCCTTCTGTTGCAACAGCTGATCTTATAAATTCTTTTGATCAGCTACATTCTCAAAGACTTAGGCCACACATTTACACTGAATCCTATTTTTAAAGTATGTAGGTAAGAGTTAAATAGATTTTTCTACTGAAATTGCTACTTCTTTCTCATTTGAAAATGTCTTTAGCTTTGTTATTTCAAAACTCTTTTTGCAATGCCTAAGCTATTCATTCAGTCCTGTTTAACCAAAGCTTTAAGTCTAGTTGTTCATAAGATGAAAAAAACCACACATTTTTTAAAGCAGGAAAATATTTATCTACTCTCTCGTTACTCTAAAATGAATGAGGGGATTTTTTCTTAAGAAAACATTTAAAAAAATCACCTTCAGGCCTAGACTAACATGACAAATTTCAGCCCAGCAGGTGATGTTTTGGAAATGAGTACACAGACAAAACAGAGATAGCTTTTCAAGAAGAAGAAAAATACTTCTTACACATATAGCAATTTTCATACAAAGATCTCAAAGCACTTTGCAAACACTATTGAAACTGAAGCACAAAGAGACTGAGTCACTTGCTGAGAGCCATAAAGTAAGGCTGGAAGCACAGGTCCTCTACAAAGACCATGCCACAATCTCTCAAATGTTAACAAAGATAATAAATGGGTAGTAAGGAAAACAATAAAAAAATGAAATTTAAAATGGACTATTTATACAACATTTGAGCAAAATGGTGTTTTTAAATATGAAAATGAATTTAGACAGGTTCTTAGAAAACAGTTGCCATGCAAAACAGGAAGTTGGCAGGTTTTCATCAAGTTCTTGGGGGAAGGAAAAGGACTCAAAGATGCACAATAAGTAACTTATTAGAAGTTTATCAAAATTACTGACATCATTACCCTTTTAATGAACTAGTGAAAACGTCCCAATTTTTAAGGGCTATTAATTAAGTTACAATAACATTGAACTGAGCCATCAACCCAATAATATAGGTGAACAGGCATAACAAAAAGGAAATTCAGAAGGAGTAGTTACCAATCCTGTGCTTGGAAATAAAGGGACTTGGTGAGCTGAATGTAGTCTGTTTATCTCCATGAGAGTGATGAGAGAAGAGCCTGGGGTGGTTGAACAGACCAGGTGAGCAATCTGCCTTTTATGTCTCTGTGAGGTATGTATTCAGACCCTTGGGTATTCAAATCAGACTCAGTATTTGAAACATCTGAGTGGTTAATCAAGCCCTGTCAGTTCATTAGACACTGAGAAGGATGTGAAACATCATACACTAGGAATAAATATTTCTAAATCAAGAGGCCCAGATAGCTTGCACCCAAGAATCTACAAATACTCGCGGAGGATTTAATGTTTTATTAAATCTTGGAATGCCAAGGAAATTCCAGAAGTCTGGAAGAAGGCTGATGTGCCAATACTGAAAAGTGGCAACCAGGATGCCCAAGTAACAATAGGTTAGTTAGTATGACATCAATTCTTGTAAAATAATTTAAAAACTAATATGAGAAACAATCGGTGAGAATTAAAGGACAGAAACATGATCTGTATAGTCAATGTGAACTGATGAAAAATAGGTTTATCACCGAAATGTCATTTCATTCTTTAATCAGATAACAAGCTTTGTAAATACAAGCAATTGAATAGATGTAAGATATACATGTGAGACATTTTAATATTGCACAATATTCTGAGTATCAATAAACCATTTTCACTCAACTTAGAACCAGCTTTCAGATTCTCAAATGAATAGTAGTCAACAGATATTGTCATAGAACTAGGATGTTTCAGGGACTTGTAGTAAATCCAGGGCCATACACCAAGCTCAAAAATGATCTAGGTGTAAATATAAAATCACTGCTGATAACAGTTGTGACAAAGATTGGCAAAGTATGATACAATGACAGTATGAAATAATGAAATAATAGTGTTCATACAAAGCATTCTGGCTCATTGGTAAGTAGGGCCTGTTGAAAAATAACCTTGAATATAGCTTCATACAATGCTTGAAGAAAGGAATACAAGTTCTATTGAGAAACATGGGACTAGAAAGGGGTGTGCAAGGCCAAGAAGTCCAGCCCCCTGAGTTTGCAGGCAACCACTTACCCAAACATTGTCCACCCCAACTCTTCACACATCACACAAAAAGCATATTATGAAAACAAAACTGGAGGAAAAAAGCTACTGAAACCCATAGTTAGAAAGCAGGGAAAACAAGGTCACTACTTCTCCAATGGTAGTGAGTTATTTGATTAGTATATGCTTTGAGGATCCCAGAAAGGCACAATGCCTTCCACTATAGAGGAAGGAAAAAGCCTCCATATGCCT